TAGAAAAACGTGGTTGGGAGCACAGATCCGAAAGATTTCATATTCGGCGCTTCAGCATATGAATGCCAGAATATGAAATCTTTCGGAAAATCGCATCTGCTGAGGCCAGTTTGATCGGTTCTTGCCGAGATCGAGAGCCAAGCTAGAAGAAAGAATGCCGCATATTTGTAAAGCAAGAGGTCCATTGGGAGCAAGGAGAGATCAAACTCCAGAATCTCCCCAAAAGATTCAATCTTCACTGTTAATTACAAAAAGCGTAGTTAATAAAACCCATATTTTATCTGTCGTGAATGAAAACCTTAATTAGTTAATTAATTAACGTGGTTCTGGCGTTTTGAGCTCGATGGCGCAGCGTTATTTTCTCTCCCCAAAGTTCTTGTTCTTTACATTGTCTCTTGGTTCTTAATTGTCCTTATATTTGTAGGTAGTGCAATGACTATTACAATTTCTTTTCTTTTTACAAACGGAAGCTTAAGTGCAGGAAGTGACTCGAACTAACGTAGCAAATTCGTTTTAAGTATCTATTTTTCAGGCATTGCTCACAAAGGAATCCAAAGTTGGTTCCAGAATGGTTCGACCGAGGAAGCAGACTATATACCCTGAAACCGTGGAGAAGAAGCTGGAACGTAGTACAAGGACATCATAAACAGAAGGAACAGTTTCAAATCAGGACGCACGGCAGACAAGTCCATGAGGAGGATGCTGGAAAGGAAAACAACAAAACTATACCCCATCCTCCGGAAGAGATTGCTCTTAAACGAGGAGGGTGGAGAGACTTCAGATGTGAAACTTGAAGACGCTGCTGAAACTCCAACGTAGTCAAAATTAATTCATGGACTCCTGGTGCTGATCGCTGTTCTTCGTCAGATGTATGTCCTGATTGAGAACATCAAAGAGAAGATCATGCCAGGTGTCAAATCGGTTTGCATGTCAACGCAGTAAGAAGGCTCGGATGTTGCAGGAAAACAGGTAGTATTCAGAAATCTCAACTTCTCGCTTTGAAGTAGTTCTTGTGTATCTTTCGGAATGTGTAATTTAGTCCAGGCAGTTTGAAGCGGTAGCTCACGGGGTAATGACGACCGCAAGTAATACATCATTCCAGGCTTTTTCAGTGCTTTGTTGTTTTTTTTTCTTATTGAGACTCAAAAATTCTCTTTTTTCTTTCTACAGAATCGTCCTTATTGAGTGCTTCATTTCAGGATTGGGGCTGAAAAGCGTGCTGAAACTGTAGAGGTGGAGTGCCATAAGTTTTTGAACATTTTTCTTGTGCTGATCATTTTAATCAGATAGTCGGTTCTCGATCTATTGAGAGTGAATGGGGGTATCAATGGGAATAGATACCTCCGTTTCCTTTTTCTCTTTTTGCGTGATACTAACAAAATGTGGTATTCTTCCAGGGACTCATGAAGAAGACAAGGAAGAGAAAAGTTTAAACGAGGCAGAGGATCGAAAAACCAGAGCCATAACTGATGGAAACAATAAAGAAGTAGAAGAAAGACTCTGGAGATGCTATTCGATCTCGAGGCTGGAAGAGATCCAAGCGTGATAGACAATCGCGAACTTAGTACCAAGATCTGTTGATCTGTTGAGATAGACGTAAGTTTGGAGCTCACATTTGTTTTCTACTGATAGACATAAACTCTACTTAGCTGGACAAGCTTAACTCGGAGGTGGTGTGTACGGGTTCGAGACCTTTGCGCATCATAACCATCAATCGCTGGAGCCATGGAGAAAGTCCCAGATCTGCACAAGACGGAGGAGCTATCGGCCATCGCGGTGGACTACTGCCCTGAGGTATGCCAGCATTTTCCAGAGCAGCGAGAGATCTCGGTGACTTTCGATGAGCGCGGTGGTGCTCGCTGGAGGAGCACCCGCAGGTTTAGCAGCGGAACTTTCAGCGCCAAGATCAAGACGCCGTCGGGGAACACGAGCGGCCTCAACTCGAGCTTCTACCTCTCGACGCTCGAGGGGCCGAGAGACCAGGACGAGATCGACTTCGAGTTCCTAGGGAAGGACAAGGGAACCGTCCAGACCAACTTCTACACGCACGGCACGGGCGGCCGGGAGGTGATCCACGATCTCGGCTTCGACAGCTCGCAAGAGTTCCACGAGTATACGATCAAGTGGGAGCCAGACAGGATCGAGTGGCTCGTGGACGGCAAGTCCATCCGGGTAGCCGAGAAGAAAAAGAAGAAAGGCCCGGAAGAACACGAAGGGAAAGCTGGAGAAGGAGAAGGAGCTCTCAAAGAAGGCAAGGGTGCAGGAGAAGAAGCTCTTAAAGAAGAAGAAGACGAAGGATTTCCTACGAGGCCTTGCTTTCTCTACGCATCCGTGTGGAACGCTGGAGAAGTCAACGAGGGTCTTTGGGCTGGTCCTTACATCGGCTGTGACGTGCCTTACGTGTGTGTGTACAAGGACGTTTTTGTTCCATGCCATTGACCATTGAATGGAAGAGCAACAACGAGCGTACCGCGCGGCACTTACAATACCGGTCCACCGAGCCGCGCGGTAGTTGATCCGTGACGCGCGGCCATGCTAAACGTTTTCTTTAATATTTATTTGAGTAGCTATATAGTGTGAAGGCTATACAGTACGCTAGCTCATGGCATTAGGGTTCTAGCGATGGCTGGGATCCCGATCCCTTTCGCCGTGGGAGACGAAGTCGAGGAGAAGAGTTACAACCATGGATTTCGAGGAGCCTGGTTCCGCGCCAAGGTGAGAGGTCTACTGGGAGCTGTGATAATCGCAGGAATGGTTTTGTAGATCGAGAAGATCGAGCGCTTACGAAAGGATGTTTACTGCACGCTGAGCTATTTCGACTACGAAGGTGGAGCTACATTTTCTCACACCTCGCTGGAGATTTGAGTCTTTCCTTGCATGATTCTTGAAGCGTTTTCTTTCTCCAAGCTTGTCGATTTCTAGCTTGCTTGTTCCAGGAGAGACTACGATCCCGCTCTACCAGCATCCTCCAGGCGTTCCACCGTCGGGATGGAGGGAGATCATGCTAAGGCCCAAGTTCCCGGAGATCCAGGTGATCAGGAAGTGGAAAGAGGGCGACGAGGCCGACTATCCGTGGAGGAGCGCTCGCTGGTATGGCAAAGTCGTGCAAGTCATCGACGATCACACAGGAGTGGTGAGCTTAGCCGAGAAAACTTGTCATTGGTTCTAATCGTCTTTGGCTTTGTTTTGGTTTAGTTCGAGGCCTCGAGTCCTCCATATGGCGAAGGCGGGCGCTACGTGGTTGCCTTGCACGAGCTTCGTCCGGCGCTAAACTGGTCTCCACGGGATGGATGGCAAGTTCCACTCAGCTCTCCTGCGAAGATCGCCAACAACCGCAGCTCCTCCTGGGACAACGAGGATTGCCTGGCGGCGCTCAGGGAGTGGGACTCGTGCTTCCGGCAGGCCAGGAAGCATTGCTCGTGGAATGCAGAGCGTGAAAAGGATGACAACACCAAGTAAGAAGTTCTCTCCTCTTTCATGTGTTCTTGAGAGTTTTCACGCGTGTTCCTGGTCTGTGCTTGTAGAGGAAGCCCTTCCAAGGAGGAAGGCTTGGAACTCACTGCCTAGATTGATCAATCAAGGTCGCTGGATCGAGGTACCGAAGAAGAAATGCTCTAACTTTCAAGACTCTGATTAGTTATATATACTAGCGCAGGTTTCCTTATACGTAGCGAAGAGCAGGGAAACGTAGAGCTCTCTAAGTAGAAAACAAAGAAGAAGAGAAGGAATCCTTCGTTTTTAGTTCTTTGTGGTGTTCCTTTTGTTGGTCCTTTGGAACAAAGCGGCATTTGGCCATTTGGTTCTGTTTGGACGATCAAGCTTCGTGGATTTCTTGCTTTATAAGCGCGCGAGGCACACAGGGATCGTCTCAATGATCCACGCGCTCGTGAGCGCTAGAATCCGATAATGGCTCGAGGGGGCGGAGCTATCAGCGCTCTACGCCGCGATGGAGCAGCAATCCGGATCGCGGTCGATCGACAGCAGCGGCTACTACAGCAAGAGCATTCTCAGCATCCAAGAAATTCCCGCCCTTTCTACTTAAAGATTCTATTTGAAGCCAACGGCTAGGATAAAAGCCCTCTTGCTTGACAAAAGTAGGGCAAAGGATGAAGAAGAGGTGTTGCAACACGGGCGAGGAGTGCGCCAAGGCGCTCAAGGTGGTGGAGTGCCACAAGACGAAGAACAAGGGGCTGCCATTCCCGGTGAGCAACGCCGTGTACAAGGCGCTCCACACACTCAAGGAGGGTCAGGTGGAAAACGAGGTCTACCAGCGGCAAACGGCCGAGTTTCGGCACTATGGTCCCTGGACTCACGATGAATTTGCTTGCGACAAGGAGGCCTACGAGCTGTTTGTGGCGGCGATGGAGGAGGAGGGGCGGCCGCTTGGCCTGTGGGTGAAGCGGATGCTTGACGAGAAGGCGCTCTACACCGACGTCAACTACTTGGAGAAGCCGGGGTGGCAAGACTATCCCTCCTCGCATTTTTGCGACAAGGGGCGCGAGTGGGTGTTTGGCAGGATTGACATCGCGGACGAGGATGCTCAGGAGAGGATGTTTCCTTCTCTACTCTCCTACGTCCGTGCGAATCTAGAATCGCGTTACACTCCTGGCACTGTGAGAAAGTTTCTTCTTTCACTCTTTGTATTTTGATTTACCGACTGTGCGAGTGTCATCAGGTGCTTGTGACGGGCAACCGCGAGTTCTACGAGAAAGTTTTGCTGGACGAGGATCGCATGGGGCTCCTGGTGGAGACGTTTCTGGAGCGGCACAGGATCATCTGCAAGCCGCGCGACCTCATGCGCAGGGTGTGGTTTGTGAGCAAGGATCAAAAGGCGATCAACGTCACGGAGGAGGTGTGCATCCGTGTCCCGCGCTACGCCGAGACCAGCGTTGCCTTCCCCCGCAAGCCAGATATATCCGACTTCCTGCCCAGCGAGGTAATCTCTAATTCTAGCTTTGCTCTTATTCTTTTTTCCTGTGCAGCTTGCGCTCGTCTCGGCTCTGTGATGAAACCATCGCGTTCTGTTCTTCCTGTCTGGCCCGAAACACCATTCCCGCAGAGCTTGTGAATCGCTACATGATCGATCATCATCGTCGCGGGCCTCACTGCGGCAATGCATGCACCGGAATCTGGCGCCTTTGGGCCGATTTCGCCCCTCGAGAAGAACAAGAACGCACTGGAATTGCCTACATTTTCAATCCGGCCCGGTGGATCCTTGCCCAGATGCAGCAGCAGACGATTCATTCTTCGCGCAAGCATCTCCCGGGCAGAATCGGCGCCCATGGCGCGAAGCTTTCCCTCGCTAAGCTCTCTTCCTCAAACCCTTCTTGTAATTGTTTTTAGAGGGAAGAAGGTTCCACTAATTTGAATTTAACAATCGTTAATAGAGTTTCTAGCAAATAACTTTGCGTGAAACTCCTCTCACCAAAGGAATGGGAAAGAATCAATTCGATCGTGGATTAAGTCATAGTATTTTTTCTAGCCCATAGACAAGGGACTGGAAAACGATCAGATTAAAACTATAAGAACTTGTGCTTGTCGAATAGCGACCAAGAGCACGGACATGAGAGCCTTAACCTCTGTTATATCGTGCCTCAGAGAAAACACCTGTAGAAAAATATTCGCACGGCATGGAAGTGAAATTACCTCTTGAGATGAATCCCGGTGAAACCATGCTGTGGATCCTTTTATTCCATCGTCCACCACCTCGCCTCTTGCCTTCACGAACAGTTGAAGACTAATAATCTAGAGAAAAAACAACGAAGAGATTAAGGCTTTACCTGGAGCTCTGCTGGGACTAGACGTAACTGTAGTGGAAGGATGCAGCAATGGGGGCTACAACTCCAATCGAGAGCGTCGGTGCAATGAAACAGCCCTGCAAGAAGAAGACGCTGAGCTAACGCTGGGAAGCAAAGGACGAAAAAACTCCACAGCTTGACTCACCACATCTCATCATGCTGGCCTTTCCGCAAAATGTGAAATCCACACCGCTGCCATGGCAGCTATCTCAAAAGCTCGAGGAATGGAAGTCGCAATTGACACAATCGAAGTTAAAGATTTCCTTTTTCTTCCCCTTTCCAATGTTTTTGCAAGCACCGCTTACAATCGCCTGAGCAAGGAATCGTGAAACAAAGCAAAATGGACCTCGATATTGGAGGATGAAGATTTAAACGTATGAATGCCGAGAACCTATGTGATCCATGATCCTGGGAAAACTCCAGCAAACATTCTCAGTGAAACAAAGAAGAAAGAACTACGAAAAGAACGATATGAATTCCGGGCTGTGGCTTGCTAGATGGTTGGAGTTGGACGGGTGGTAAAGTCGTGCTGCCTCCTTTGAGGCCCGGTCATGATCTGCCCCCACAGCGCCGCGGCATGTCGCGCTTGTTCTTCCTGGAGGCGATCTTTATTTAAGAAAAGAAATCTTGAGCGATCATCAGCAAATCCCAAGAAAGAATGCCGGCACTCACCGTAGACATGCCCTTGGGCTTCTGGCCTCATTGCGCCTCAACGCCCAGCTCCCATGAAGCCCGCGAGAAGTCGATGCCATATGATGTGCTCTTTTCCCCTTGTCTGTTTTTAGGGCTCCTAGGACATTCTCGAGAGTTTCCCTCGAAAAATGCCATTTGAAACCAACGGCTAGGATAAGAGCGGGGCAAATGGCGGCTGTAGAGCGCGGCTTCGTCAAGCACGATCCACCTGCCTCGCAAGCAAAGTTAGATGTCGTGAGTCCAGGGACTCGGCCTTGTGTTGCTCCAGGCGCTTCCTGGAGCGCCTTGTACACGGCGTTGCTCACCGGCGATTGATTTTTGCGACAACTGGGATTGGCATCGCGGACAAGAACTGTCAGGAGAGGGAAAGCTAGCAAAGTTTTAGCTTGAGATCACAGCTTGCATTTTCGCTCTAGAGTCGCAACTTTTCATGCTTCTCTTGAGACTGATCTTCCGGAAAGAAGCACTTTTTAGCGAGTGAGCTAAAAGCAAGTAAGCTCTGGAAAACTTCACTGCAACGGCGCTCAGGAAGTGGGATTCGTGCTTCTGGCAAGCCAGGAAGCATTTCTCGTGGAACGCAGAGCGTGAAATGGACGACAACTCCAAGTAAGAAGCTCTCTCCTCGAGCTTTCGTGTGTTCTTGAGAGTTTATATGCATGTTCTTGGTCTGTGTTTATAGAGGAAGCACTTCCAAGCAGTAAGGCTTGGAACTCACTGGCTCGATCAATCGATCAAGGTCGCTAGATCGAGGTAACCAAAGAAGAAATGCTTTAACTTTCAAGACTCTAGGAAGTTGACACTAGCTTGTTCATGTTGGCTATCATGGTACTAGTGAAGAACAGGGAAAACTAGAGAGGGAGAGAATCACTGGCTTGATCGATCGATTAAGGCCACTGGATCGAGGTACCATAAAAGAAATGCTCTAACTTGGAGGTTAACAGTTATGGTAGCAGCGAAGAACAAAGAAAAGTTGAGATTTAGAAAACAAAGAAGAAGAGAAGGAATCACTGGCTTGATCGATCGATCAAGCTCTAACTTTCAAGACTCTAGGACTAGGAAAGAATAGAGAAACGTAGAGCTCTCTAAGTAAAAAACAAAGAAGAAGAGAAGGAATCCTGCGTTTGTAGTTTTTTGTGGTGTTCCTTTGGTTGGTCCTTTGGCACAAAGCGCCATTTGGCCATTTGGTTCTGTTTGGACGATCGTCGTACATACCAAAGCGTCGTGGATTTTCTTGCTTTATAAGCGCGCGAGGCACAGGGATCGTCCCAATGATCCACGCGCTCGTGAGACCATGGTAGAATCCGACAATGGCTCGAGGGATTTCGATTTCTTCCCGGAAGACTATGATTCCGAGAGCGTGGGGGCGGAGCTATCGGCGCTCTACGCGGCCATGGAGCAGCAGTCTGGATCGCGGTCGATCGACAGCAGCAGCTACTACAGCAAGAGCATTCTCAGCATCCAAGATCTCCAGCAGCGCACCAGATCTTACGATAATCTAGCGCGGCCATCGCATGCGCAGCAGCAGCAAAGGGATATCCCGGATGCGCACTCGGTCGTCGTCGCGAGGGATAGAGATTACGGCTATGGCGCCGTCAACGAGAAAGATCTGGCCGAGGAAGCCGACTCTCTCAGCGTTTACAGCATCGATGCCACCAAGAACGCGGATCAAGCGCAAGAAGACGAGGGATTTTCCTACTGGAAGCTGTTCCAATTCGCGAATGGATTGGACTGGCTGATGATCGCAGTCGGCACGGCATCGGCCATCGCTCACGGCCTCTCCGGCCCCGCGGTCGTGCTGCTCTTTGGATTGATGAACAATGCGTTTGCTCTGCCGCCCGACGCGGCCTTCCGTGGAGTCGTCAAGGTCCGATCAGCCGATCTCTCTCGTTTCTGTTGGATCTGTGCCTGATATTTCGATTCCAGATCGTGGTGATCGTGATGTATGTGTCCGTTGGAACGATGGTCTCGTCGGCAATAGGTATGCTTCTTTATCGTTTCAAAATTTTAGGGTTCTTGAGTGGTTTTGACGATGGCGCTATGGCGCAGAGAATGTGTGCTGGACGCAAATTGGAGAGCGGCAGACCGCGCACATCAAGACGAGGTACCTGGATTCGCTGCTCAAGCAGGACATCGCCTTCTACGACACGGAGGCCAAGGTCGGGGACATTGTGACCGCTGTCTCGAGCGATATTCTCCTCATTCACGATGCAGTGGGGGAGAAGGTGAGCTCCATCGCCAGTTCTAGTGGTTTTCTCATGTTTCTTTCGACCAGATCGGTGCGTGTGTCAGCAATTTTGCTGTGTTTCTGGGCGGTATAGTGATTTCTATCTCTGTGTACTGGAAGATGGGGCTCATGGGGCTGACAGCAACACCGCTGCTACTTGGAAGTGGTTTTATGTTCGTGGCTTTCTACACCAAGTATGTGATTCAAGCGCTCACGGCGTATAGAAGTGCCGACTTGGTGGCTGAACAGGTGTGTTTTTTCACGTAGTTTCTTTTCATTTTTTCCCCTCTGAGTCTCTCTTTTCAGGCAATCTCGCAAGTGAGAACTGTGTACTCTTTCGTTGGAGAAACGAAAGCTCTCAACTCGTATGCACACCTTCTCGAGGATGCTGTGAAGCTTAGCTCTAAGACTGGACTTAGCAAAGGTCTGGGGCTTGGAACGGTCATTGCCATCTCCTACTTTTCATGGACGTTGCAGTTTTGGTTCGGTAGCAAACTTGTTGAGAAGCATGAGATCAAGGGAGGTACTGTCAACTCATTGATTTTCATCAGTATAATATCCGGGAAGTAAGTTCTTACAGCATGCGTTAATGTCTCATTAACGTTTTATCCGTTTCAGAGCACTGGGAGACTGCATGCAAGTGTTCGGTTTTATAGCCAAAGGAAAAGCGGCCGCAAGCAGATTATTCAGAGTTATAGAGAGGCAGCCAAGAATCAACAACAACAGCGATCAAGGCAAAACTTTGTCGCGTGTCAGAGGAAGAATAGAGCTATGCAATATATCGTTCGCCTATCCCGCACGGCCCGAAGTACCTGTATTCTCGAATTTGTCTCTAAACATTCCGGAGGGGAAAATAGTTGCGCTTGTTGGATCAAGTGGATCAGGCAAAAGCACGATAATTTCCTTGATTGAGAGATTTTACGATCCTCTGAAGGGTAAGAACAATGTCGAGCAACCTCAGTACTGGACTAATCGTCTTGTTCTTGCAGGAGAAGTGAAGCTCGACGGAAGGGATATCAAGTGTTTGCAACTTAAGTGGCTCAGGGCACAGATTGGACTTGTAAGCCAGGAGCCTACTTTATTTGCCACCAGTATTAAGAAGAACATCTTGATGGGAAAGCCAGATGCAAGCCATGAAGAACTCATATCAGCAGCAAAGGTTGCTGGAGCTCATCTGTTTATATGTGATCTTCCCGATGCATACAACACAGAGGTGAATTTCCTCCTCGTCCTTTTTGTTTCTATTTAATAATGTTTTGTTTTGTAGGTTGGGGACAAGGGAATCCAACTTTCTGGAGGACAAAGGCAGAGAATAGCCATTGCTCGTGCAATCCTGAAGAAGCCGTCTGTCATGCTTTTGGACGAAGCAACGAGCGCGTTGGATTCTGAATCCGAGGTTCTAGTCCAAAATGCACTAGACAGGATCATGCAAGGACGGACCACTGTTGTCATTGCTCACCGCTTGTCAACTATTCGAAACGCCGACTGCATACTGGTCTTCGACAAAGGTCACATCATAGAAAGTGGGACACATGCTGAGCTACTTGGTCGTGAGAACGGTGCTTACAAGTCTCTCGTAATGACTCAGGAAAGTGCTGTAGTAGCGAGAAAGAGAAGAACTCGCGGCA